GTCACGCTCCCAGGTCGTTAAGACCAACACTAATCCTATTTCCTTTTCAGGTTCCTCGAGCAATACCCTTCCACGGTGTGGGCAGCCGGGAAGTGATATCAGCTCTCATACCTGTAACAGCACACGAGACCAAGTTGGTCACATTCAAATCCTTCCTACACCTTCTAATACCTCTCTTATTTCCATGACTAACCCTCCTAACGTCTCTTTATCATCTCGCACCGCTAAGTCAAACGATTCGAGTACACGGAACGCTATTCCTGGTCTCCAGAAACCACGCTCTAAACTACACGTAGGAGCTTTTAACGTCCGAACACTGTCCCAAATAGGACAACAGGCTTCCTTAGCTAGGACTTTAGAATCCCGCGCCATCGATGTGTGCTGCGTCTCCGAAACGCGCATACAGGATCCGAGTAGCGTCATTCATCTGACCTCACCATGCCAAAATAAAGAACCAACTCGATTCACACTTCGTGTATCTGGAAGCCCTGATTCTGCTTCGCGTGGCCTCGCCGGCGTAGGTATAGCATTGAGTCCCAGAGCAGAACTAGCTCTCTTAGAGTGGATCCCAGTAGACAGTCGTTTGTGCGCTGTCCGACTAAACGGAACAGTAAGGACTCGGAAAGATAGGGACACTCGTCGTTGCCTCTTCGTCGTCTCTGCTTATTCTCCCACTGACTGCAGCGCAGATGATCTAAAAGATGAGTTTTACAGAAAGCTTTCCGACCTCTTCCGAAAACCTAGGCGCTCTGATGTAGTAATAGTGGCCGGTGACTTTAATGCTCAAGTAGGTAAACTAAGCGATAGGGAAAGACACCTGGGTGGATCTTATAGCGTCGTGGCTCAAAGAACAGATAATGGCGACCGTCTGTTGAGGCTATGCTCAGATAACCGCCTCTTTCTTGCAAATACTAACTTTAAGCATAAAGAAAATCATCTTTCAACATGGAGACCCCCTAATTCGTCCCAACGTTGGACCCAAATAGATCACATCGCTATCAGCCACCGATGGAGGGGCTCGATAGAAGACTGTCGCTCATTCTGGAGCACATGCTTAGATTCAGCTCATGCTCTAGTGCGAGCGCGTATCTGTCTGCGTCTTACTGGACGTAGGAAAGACGCTGCAAGTAAACCTCTTAGAACCCTACTTAATGATAGTCAAGCTAAGAGTATATTTCAGGAACAACTAGGAAAACAGTTGGGCAGCCATGTATGTGATGCCCACCCCGAGGCAGCATGGAATGATATCTGAAAAGCTGTGGAAACAGCAGTGATATCTGCTAGTACGGTAACCCGTAAGGTTAAGGAGCAACACTGGATCTCAACAGCATCTATCGCACTGATAGATGCTCGGGAACTCATTCCACTTGGCTCTGAACATAATGAAGAGCGGAGTCAGCTTAAGCGCAAACTGACGAGTCTATGCAATGGTCGTGAACAGTGGTGGGTGGCAAAAGCAAGAGAGATAGAAAAGGCAGCGGCGATAGGTCAGTCAGTCAGCTACAACGTAGGGCCAGGCACATATATGCATCGGTCCAAATTACCATACCTCATTAACGCAACTAGATGGACACCGGATTCATAAAAGTAGTTAATTCAGAGGTGGTAACATATAAAAGAAATATTGCAATGAGGATATAGTACAGGAAGAAAGAATTAGTTCGTAGAAAGAAAGATATGAAGCAATTTTAATCTCTTAGTTTAAGTGAAGATAGAGAGTATATACACCGACGCCATTGTGATCGATTCTGAGCCATGTCACTAAGAGTCTCCAACCATTGATTACGATAGTCACGCGGCCCCCAACCAAGTAGTCTGCGTCTACCAACATGGCTCAGACTAGAAGTTAGTGACTTCAAGCACTGATGTCACGTTTCGGTTTGACCGCCCCTAACTTTCTTCCAACCATTCCCTACACTATTCAGCATTGCACGTCGTGGTAATCGGTGTTCAGGCATACGTAACACGTGGCCCAACCATCTCAGTCGATGAAGATTCACAACCTCATCAACTGATTTACCATCATTCCCTAATACCCTGCGTCTAACCTCACTATTACTTACTTAGTGATCCCAACAGACGCCAGCAATATTTCTTAGGCATCTGTGGTCAAATACTAGTAGCTTACGAGTGTCTTCTACTCTTAATGGCCATGTTTCGCTGCCCTGAATTAAAACAGAACGGACTGCCGCGCAGTATACTTGTCCTTTTATTGATAGACGGATATCTTGCCTTCGCCATAGATGACGTAAGTTGGCAAAAGCCAAACGAGCTTTTCGAATCCGTGCTGAGATTTCGTCAGACACCAACCCATTAGGGCTGATCAGACTTCCAAGATAAGTGAAGTTGTCAACGCGTTCGACTACTTCACTCCCTATCCTTATTTTAGGTATTGACGCAGACCAGTCCTGAAGCAACAACTTGCATTTAAAGGGAGAGAAGCGCACTCCAAACATTCTGGCATTATTGCTTAGTGATACCGAAAGACTGCATTTTATCAGCGTCTTCACCAAACAGGACTATGTGATCTGCGTATTCTAAGTCGATAAGTGGACATCCTGGAAGGAGATCAATACCCGAGAATTCAGTAGACGAAAATGTTATTTCCATCAATAGATCTACGATGAAGTTAAACAAAAATGGAGAAAGTGGACAGCCTTGACAGACACCACTTGAGGTTGCAAAAGCAGATGACAGTTCGCCATAAGCTATGACTCGACTGGTAGTGTTCGAGTAAAGAGCCTTCACAAGGTTTATGTACTTCTGAGGTACGCCTTTCAATGACAGACACTGCCACAGAATCTTGCGGTCTACCGAGTCAAATGCTGCTTTTAAGTCAAGAAAGACCACCATTGTCGGCAATAGGTAATAGCAGACAATTGTTCAGACTTGTTAAGGAAACCGACTGTTAGCGAAACACTCTCAGACAAAGATGGACATATTATACATTCTCAATCCAGGAGATTGGATCGATGGGCAGAACACTTCAGGGATCAGTTCAACTGGCCTTCAGCCACACTTCGGTTTCCCACGATCTCTAGTCAACCTGAATGGCAAGTTAATGTAAGTCCTCCGTCCCTTTACGAAGTTGAAAAAGCCATAGGAAATCTGAAGCGAGGGAGAGCAGCAGGTCCTGAAAGGTTTACTCCTGAGATTTTTAAGGATGGTGGTCCAGTATTAGCAATGAGATTAACCGAGGTCTTAGGTAGAATTTGGGAACTGGACGTAATCCCATCTGACTGGTCTCAATCACTGATTGTGCCAGTTTTTAAGAAAGGACAAAAGTCCTCTTGTGACAATCACAGAGGAATCAGTTTGACTAATATAGTGTCTAAAATATTAACTTCAATAATACTTCGACGCCTAACGAAAGCTCGTGAAGAACAGACTAGAGAAAACCAGGCTGGTTTCCGACCTGGACGCGGTTGTATAGACCAGATATTTACACTACGTCAGGTTCTAGGACACAGACACACATTCAGACGCCCCACAATGGTAGTATTTCTCGACCTTAAGGCGGCATTCGACTCTGTTGATCGTGAGGTTCTATGGCAGTGTTTGTCACTGAAAGGAGTACCAAAGAAGTACATTAACCTTATTCAGGCTCTCTACTCGGACACAAATGGTAGAGTGAGAGCTTATGGCGAACTGTCATCAGAATTGATTACATCAAGTGGTGTTCGTCAGGGCTGTCCACTCTCTCCATTCTTGTTCAACCTTGTGGTCGACGTACTTTTAGAGATAACACTCTCCTCATCTAAATTTCCAGGGGTTGAACTTCTACCGGGAGGTTCATTTGTTGACTTAGAATATGCTGATGACATAGTTTTATTTGGTGAAGACGCTGACAAAATGCAGAGTCTTTTGACCACTCTAAGCAACAATGCAAGCATGTTCGAGATGCGATTCTCTCCCTCGAAATGCAAAATGTTGCTTCAGGATTGGGTTACATCGACACCCAAACTAGTGATAGGGAGTGAAGTAGTTGAGTGTGTCGACCGCTTCACCTATCTTGGAAGTCTCATCAGCCCTTGTGGTCTGGTGTGTGACGAAATCTCAGCACGGATACAGGAGGCTCGACTAGCTTTTACCAACTTGCGTCATTCATGGCGTAGGCGAGATATCCGTCTATCAACCAAAGGACGTGTTTACTGCGCAGCAGTTCGTTCCGTCCTACTTTATGCCAATGAAGCATGGCCGGTAAGAGTAGAGGATATTCGTAGGTTACTAGTATTTGATCATAGGTGCCTTCGAAATATTGCTCGTATATCCTGGGACCATCGAGTAAGTAACACAGTTGTTAGGAAACGGGTACTAGGTAAGGATGGCAAATCAATTGATGACGTAGTGAAACCTCATCAGTTGAGATGGCTGGGACACATGTTACATATGCCCAACCACCGACTGCCTCGACGTGTGATGTTTTATGGTGTAGGAGTAGGTTGGAAGAAAGCCAGGGGCGGCCAGACCAAAACATGGCACAAGTTCATGAAGTCACTGACAAGTGGACTGAGCCATGTTGGTAGGTGTAGACTACCTGGTTGGGGACCGCGAGATGATAGCAACCGATGGTTAGAGACCCTGAATGACACGGCTCAAAATCGTTTGCAATGGCGCAGGTGCATCCACTCTTTGTGTTCTCCCAAATTTTGATCTCCTGATTCCCCCTTGTCTCTTTTTTTCTCTTCTCAAATTTATTTTACTGTATTATAATCTTTAAGTAACATCTCCAAACACTAATCTTCCCGATTACTGCTTATACTCTTATTACCCCTACCACTACGGGATTTGAATCGACCACTTTATCTCTGTGTTAATGTGGTGTGGCAACTCGAACTGATGTACGTACGTACGAAGTTCTACGTTGTTACTGACTGACTGACTGACTGACTGACTGACAATAGCGTCACAGACACTAAAAACTGTAAATACGAAACTAGTAATGAAAACAGTAAACAAGGTAATAAGAAGACTACATATTTGCACAAAGAATGACTTGCCTCCTTAGGACTAACAAGCGAAAGATGTCGGCTTTCGTCTACATTACTAAATGATGAGAGATCACTCTTATCTGTTAATTCGTAGAGTTGTTCACATGCTTCACACTCCATGAAACGTGATATATCTGTAAAAGTGTATATAATTAATTATGAAGTTAGTAAAATCATTTATAATCGTTTACGAAATTGTTTACTTATGATGCATAACGAATACTCATAGTAAATAATTAGGGAGACTAAATGTAACTTAGAGAAACTCAGTAACTACATACCAACTTATGTAACTGAGCCTCAAACCATATTTTCTTTGGTATCTAGTGATACTATCCGATCCCGTGAACTTGTTTATTTTTACTTTTTTATAGATATTGAATGGATCGTTTGCATTGGAATAAATAAACTACACATATTTTAAAATATACTGACAAAATACTTTAGTATATCAAAATTCTAATAATTATACGCGTTGGCAAACCTTACCCTATAGGTGCCAATAAACGATTTCAGACGACCAGTAATTTATATTTACATTTAAACTTTATACTTCTTGGTACACCAATAGGTTACATTCTCAAACACATTATGAGAGGCATGTCTATCATGAGACTGGAATTCACACAGCGCATATGTTATAAACGTTACTGCTACGTTATATTGCAATTAAGGATTAAACTGAAACAAATAATAGAAAAAAGGACGAAAACAAACGGTGCTTATATGTTCTCAGAGGATGATGAAGAGATTAGAATTTAGAGTATTATGATAAAACATAACTCTTTGAGGTATCTTAAACAATTATACGTGAATGATTTGGGTCGTCATTGATTCTTTAGAATTGTTTCATAGTATATACAAGTTTTATAACCAGATAGGAATTTATGTTAGCCTTTTTGTCTCAAATCGGTTAGTCATAATCAACACATGACCTGGTACAGATGATAATTACATCAAAGCGAAGAGAGGAAATGAACAAGATGCATATCAAAGAAATTTAAATTATGGTAGCACCAAAGATACTAAGCAAAAACTAAGCATAAATATGGCTTGGGAAGTCTCTCATACAAACTATTTTACATTCTTCAAGTTTCATTACGTGATTCAACAGCTGAATAAGGAATATTTGATGTGAATTGTAAAAAGCAGTTGCCAAAGAAGAAACTGTTGTACACGATTTTGGTTACCTTGTTAGTGACTCATATGTGAATTAATATCGTTCAGTATGGCTTCTTTCTCGTCCTTGTAGATTAAAGTAATCATTTCCTACTACTACTTGGCATTCATATTGCTTAACTAATATAATTTAGACTGATACAAATACGTTTTACGTTCCACACTACTTATAAATGGCATTCTTTTTATATTTCGTTTTATTTTTAATGATTAAAATGTGTAACAACTCTAATCGGTATATTATTGGGAAATGTCCTCGATTCGATTGCCTTTCTATTATGTTACACTTCAATGGTTACCACCAATATTTCGCCCGTTAATCCACTTGCGAAACACAATTTTGTATTCCCGTACTCGTAAGTGGTGATCAAAGTAAAAGTAGTTGCAATTAAAACATAACTATGGTGAGAAAGCATTCTGAAACCATCATAAGTGAAAATAAATAGATTTAAATAACCAACTTGAAAACAGTCTAAATAAATCATCAACATTAAACAATTACATGATGCTTTTGGATCAAGAGATTTTAAAGGACCACCACATTTGTTACATCTTATAAAAGAGCCAGTGCCATTTCCAGAGCCTCCTCCTCCAGCACCACCAAGACGTTCCTTAGAACCGATACTATGATGGTTCACATTGGCGGAGTTGAGGGAACTACTACCTTCTGAAGGTCCCCCTGGGTTTTGACTTTTACCTAATAAATATAAAGACAAGAACAAACAACTGGAGACAAAAACGAAACATAATGGTTTTCTTGAACAAAATATATGTTATGTATGGATTCACTTAGTTTAGTTCTGTTTTCTCGACGTCACCGTTAATCATGTTACTAACTGGGTTATTTTGTTAATTCACAAGTGATCACTTTCCATATAACAACGTCTAGCAACCAAACAGTCAAAGAGAAAGAAACAAAGAAGTGTTATTGATATATAAAGTTCGAGGGTTTACCACCCGACCGACCAATTATAACAGCTCTTTCGAAACGCATCACCGAAAGTTACCCCGTGCAGCTTCCTAAAGGATTACAGAGGTCAGTCAAAAGCCCACCCTTCGAGCATCTAATCAATTCTGGTCATTTCGCTTGACCATAAACCTTTAAAACCATACATACAAAATGAGTAGAAACGAAAAACTTATGTATATAAGAAGCTCTTGTTACCTATCGTTTTAAGCCTAGCTTTTGCGTAAAAAAACAGTATGTTCAACCCCTCATTCACTCATAGTTTTAACCTTCCTCTCTACTATAACCTATCATTTACCATCTTCACTTTATTTCCACTCCTTCCAATTACTTTCAAAACTAGTAATTAACAATGATTATGACTTTTAATTATCCCATTCCTTATGGCTATCGAGTGGAAAATTATCTCCACCTTATCACTTTTTCACTAGCCGACTATTACATTACCTCTCAATATCTGATTTCCGCAAACAATTCATGACAAGATACAACTTCAAGTTATTTAAATATTCAACACTTCTATTCTACAAAAGACCATATTTCGGCAAATAAAGTTAACTAAGTACGATTGCATGGTTTAGGTAAACAAAAATCGTCGAAAATAAAAGCTTTGAAGGACCGCATTTTTTCTTTAACGACACGATGAGTTGCTTTCATTACTTCAATAATGATATCGCTCTTATCAATATTTGATTCTGTTACACTTATAACCACAACCTATAGCCACATAGCGAATGTATTAACTTATTACAACGATCGGTGGAAAGGTCATAATTGAGCATAAATAGCGCAACTATGTATGTCTCCAGAAAATGCGAAACTAATCGTGAGGACTGAATGAAAACATCAATCATTGACTTTAGCGTGTTGACGACACAATTACAATGCATCCCTTCTTGACGAATGATAATAAGTATCAATACCTATCTTAATGCTACAAGTAATCCTCGAATACTAAAGATTTAAGAAAGAATTACAAAAGGTGAGGGACGTTTAAATTCCGGGTACAGAAATAGAAGAAAAATAGCTTCCAAAGAAAAACTTAATACATAAGCATTTAGTCAATAGGAACCTTCCCAAACGAAACCAACATGTTCACTTGAGATTGAAGGTTCATTAGAGCCGCTAATGGTCCACTAACAAGAACATGTAAGTATTTAATCAGCTGCAACGTAGGACCAGGCACATATATACATCAGTCCAAGTTGTCACACTGCATTAGCGAAACAAGATGAACATCAAATTCATGGAAGTACTTGAAAGTTAAGTCACACAAAATGATTAGCAAATGCCCTGGTACGGCCGAGAGTGGGGAGAGTCCGCTCTTCCTCTCGAAATGCTCTCACATGGCCACGCGTATATAGCCTCTGCCAGGGAAGTCCTACTCACTGCCTTCTCGTGGCGGGGGTGTTGTTTACGAAAATGAGAGGACGAAAAGCGAATGTTCGGCGCTTTAACCGGATTTCAAACCAATGGTGCACATGGGCTCCAGTATCCTGCGGGAACAAATGGCGTATGAACCAATTGTTGGTCACCGGCTTCCATGGGACGGCATCTCCTTACGATGCTCCACTGCCTTGTGGATCAGACCCTCAGGTCGAAGTCTCGGGGTGTGGCCCTCTAAGAAAACCACCTGCTTCGGTTTGGGCACCCGGGCAGTATCACAGCCCTCACACATATCGAATGAGATTTGTGTGGCGCATATGTATTTGGTGCCTCCTTGTACCAATATCTATGTGTTGAAATAATAATAATAATAATAATAATAATAATAATAATAAGAGTGTAGTTTTAAATGAATAAGAATGAATGTGTAAACCAATACCATGAAAATTTAGATCACACGGGGCGAGTGGTAAAAAATGTCAATGTAATGCATAGCAAAATCAGAAATTTTGACAAGCATGACATATTCAGACAGTTTAGACGTTTTTTCAGTGTTTACAGTAACTTAAAAGTAAGAGCTAACTATTGAAACCTTTCATAGGACTATTTCAACCCTTTTTAGTAGTATACAAACTAATACTACTTGTTTGTTTATTAGACTCATACGTATGTATTAGGGAGCATATGAAAACACCTTGATCAAAAAGCCGGTCTCACAAATTTACTTTAGAATTTTAAAAATCTAAAAAGGTGGGGATAATGTCGAAATCATAAGCGTGAACCTACCTGCTCATAACCGATTGACTGATGAGACCAAGTTCGAACGATCCTAAAGGCACGCTGAAGAAATCCTCAGACTGATTACCTACTAACTATGGTTAAGAGTTGATCATATATTAGTTTAAGGAATTAGGGTTATCATTTACAAATGGATGTCGAGGTTAGGAATTGGAGGAAGGGTTTTCGTCACGAACTGACTTCAGCTATAGTGCCAATATGCTTGTTATCCAAAAGAATGAATGAAACTCGCTCTAGATTCAACACCTGTTGTTTTAAACCTGACTAGTTTGTCTAGAAATCAGTCCTGCCTATTCAGCCACAAACACCACAATTCGTTGGCAAAAACTCATTTCTCTTCATAAACGTGGGATCAAAACGACAAGAGCAGGACGTATTAATCACACAGCATTTAAATTTCCTTCATGATACCGGGAAATAAGGCTTATCATCGGACATTTAGGCAAAAAACGATTTCCGTATATACTGCATGAACAAAATTTGATTAAATACTCACTACTTTTGCGGCATTCGGCCGTTTTGCAATGCCCCAAAATGTTGCAATCTTCGTGAACATCAACCTCTGAAACCCGTGAGAGTGTTAGATTTTCGTACGTATTCCATGCATTATTTCCATAGCGGGCAACAACTAATTACTCTATAAAGCAGTAAAACATACTTAACAATCCACGTCCATGTGTCTTCCAGCTTTTAAAAGCACAAGAAAATGCAGAGGAAGCGAAATTACTCATAATTAAGAAAACTACAGAATCAATAACACAAAACAGATTTCAACGCAACATTTGAAATCTGCGCGCGGATTCAATGGTTCAAATGGTTCGATTGATTGTGGACGGAATAGAAGAAGCTTTCGCCTAACGGGCTTCTACGTCTAGTAGCAGTGACACATAAATACCTTCCGGGCAGGAACCTAGATATATTAACGATAATAGAGTAAAAAGCAATTGGTAAGTCATAATAAGATATTATCCTTAGTCCTTAGGAATAAGTCAAGTTGCCTCTTAAATGACTCCTAGGAAGTCGCAAATTCCAATATTTGACGACTCTTCAGGAGTAAAACACGTGTCTACAGTCCGTTTTGCTGTGTTGTGTCTCTAGTTTCTGGGTGTTACCCCTTAGTTTTATGTTGGAGGTAAACTTAAGTAGGTGTTTAAAGGGGATGTCCAGAAGTGTTAAAGATAGTGTAAGCTAATAGAGGGTCAAATCTAGGACGCCTATACTCTAATGATTAAAGGTCTAGTGATTGGAGGTGCTCTTCACAAGAATTGAATTTGAGTCCGCAGACTGATTCTGTGGCTTGCCGTTGGATACACTCCTGAGTGTCCTTATCCTTCTGGGGTGAGGGAGGAAACACTATGTTTCCGTATTTAAAATGGAGATGAATAAAATTGCTGAAGATAATATGGAACGTTCTACCGTCAAACTGGCCAAAAATGAGTTTCAATGTTATCAGTGCAAGGTTTGATCGAAAATCATTTTTGCCACAGTCAGCGTGTGACTTCGAATCGTAGGGTACCAGTCCTCCTAAATCTTTTTCAACTTGGGATACTTTTAGAGAGAAGTTTTCTGAGTTGAAACTGTAGTCTGCAATATGTCTCAGATGAACTACTTTACACTTTAAAGTGTTAAAAGTAAGTTTATTGTCATCTGCCCAATCGTGAAGTCGAGTCAGATCCCTATGAAATATCAGTATATCCTCTTGGTTGCGTGTCTCTCTCTCCAAAGTTTCACATCATCGGCAAAAAGTATTAAGCCAGATGACACCTGTTGTAGAAGGACTTTTATAGAAATCAAGAAAAGATGAGGTCCTAGTACTGAACCTTGGGGGACGACACCAGGACATTCCATAGCCTGAGAGAAAGTGTAATTAAACCTGACCCTAAAATGTCGATTTCTCAGATATAAAGTGAGCCAGTCAATTAAAGGTGATTTGATACCCAGTCGTTTGAGTTTATTGATAAGACATTCATGGTTGACCCTATCAAAAGTTTTTGCGAAGTCAAGGCAAATGATGTCAACCTTCCCCATGCGATCAGGGATGGTTGTCCTTCTGTTCACCGCAGCCAGCAGGCTGGTTATACAAGAATAAGACCTTTCCTGAAACCATGCTGTTGGGCTTTAAACCATTTAACTCGACAAATTCGTAAATGACTTTCTTCCAAATAAGTATTCTGCAGCACCTGAATTGACATCCCACTGAGCTACATCATAAGAATCTGACAGTGAAATGTCATAAAAAGACCTTCATTGGGCATTTCCACATGTGTATCGATTGTCCGAACTTGATCAAGTGTTCTGACTTAAGTTGACAGACCTCCATGAACCGAAAGAACTTTTTCCCTAACTAATGCAGCTACAGTAAAAAGATCGAAGACTGCAAAAATCATGCCATGGATTCCCACTTCCATTTCTATTGATGCATTCATCGTAGAAGACATAGCACTTGACAACTTTCATGGTTTCCCCTCAATAATGTAATTCGTGCAGGATATCTGGATTTTAAGACATGAAGAAGAGTTTCAATGCTGTAATAATCACGATCAACAAAATCTCCCATGAAAATATAATTCCTGTCACACAGTTTATCCCCTCTGTGTAATAACTGCAAAAGATCACAGAACTGTCTATAAATACCACCACATGTGGTAACCGAAAAAGAAACAGGCTGTACTTTGATCTCTTCGATCAGCTACTAACATAGCTGCATAATTTTCTAGGTTCACTTTCTTGAAGGTATTTACAACTTTTGACAGACTATCCACTGATCTCGGACCATTTTAAAAGTAGTTCCTAAGAACCAATGTCGTATGCTATTTACAAAGAACAGTATCGTTTTTTCTCGCCGAGTTAATTCTATTGTTTTTATCGTTTATTGCGCATCAACAATACTGTTTTCACTCCAAATGATTTTATTTTAGTTGAAGTATTCGCCAAGAGTGTCGTTTTTTTATAAAATTTATCATCAGTAATCAAGTGTAAAGAAAAGGCTGAAAATCCCTACACAACACTTTTGTTGGACAGTACTGTCATTTATTTGTTTATTCTCCCTGTTGTGTATTTAAACCTTTGTTAAGATCTTTTTTGACCACACTGTGTTCTTCTGTCTTCCTCGTCTGAGCTTTTATTATGTGACTGAATGAAGACGTATCTTTCGTTATCTAATTTTATTGCACATTGCTGGATTATTGACAATAAAGTCGTGTTTCACATATTGTCGTGGATATTTTGTGTCTTCATTCATCAGCTATTAACAGCCTTTTTCCCATCACACGCCAATTTTCGTAATGTTTGTGTTTGTCACATAGATTTTATCCCAATTTATTAGCAGTTTGACGTATTTCTTGCTCACTATCTAAGTGAATCTTTAGTAAGCTTAATATGATTATTTGTAATAATACAAATTCAAGAAAGTAAAATTCACCATTTTTCAAGTCAAAAAGTAAATCATAGAATGAGTTTTCATGAAAATAATCTTTAAAATCTATTACATATGGTTCACACCCTTGATTCTGGTGTTGATGAACATGGGTATTAGTAGTTGTTTATAAAATGTAAGTAGTAGTCTGGTTCGTTAATTCTGCGTTCAAACTGATTATTAGAAATCCTTTCGTTACAGGTACTTTTAAGTGCATTAGTCCTTCGCATTTTCCTTTTATTCCAGTCGTCAGTTTCTTTTTTCTCTGGGTATTTTATCGTTTAATTTACCTAGAATAACCTAAATTGCTAACTGAAAGATCAACTGCCAGTGCTCAAGCTGTACATACCCTATAGAAAATGGTATGCAGTGCGATGAGTGCAATAGATGGTACCACTATATCCGCACGGTTTAGAAAGAATGGTTGCATGTGGTTGTGTCAGCATCGCCGTTCGGAGGCAATTAATCATTCGAAGCCATCGCAATGGTGGATGCTGTTAAAAGGAGTAATAGCAAACGCAGTTGAAGCACACCAGACACCACTTGCTTGGTCGATACAAAAATTGATATGAATTTACCTCAGATAAACTCAGGACAGATTGACTTACATGAGCCAAAGGAAGAAGGACCTTCTTCAAAAAGGTCTGTCATCATAAAAGCTCAAGAATATAAGCTTCTTCTCTCTCCCGTCCTCCAAGTGGCAGTCAGCGGAAACGCCTAGAAAACCTGATGGTAAGTCTATATTCGTATCAAGCAAGGAAAACAAAAACCTGACCAATGAAGTCCTCGACAATCATTTGGGACCTCACATTGTGTTTGATAGGATTGTGGTTACTACTCTAGCGAAAACTGGTGAATGGGTACAAATCGAGAATAAGAAACGACCTTATGTTACTTGAGAAAAGCCAGTCTCCAAAAAGTAGCTGGAAAATCAAAGATTAATTATAATGATAGCTCATTTGCCTTTCATAGAGTCAAACAGTGTAAAAGTCAGAACCCAAGACTCGTTTTGAGTATGGTAATGAGTCGGTAAAACGGCCACTAAACCAGCCAGTGGTCACCTTGCTAAAGATTTATTGACTAGTTAGCCAAATGGACCTGAAACAAAATAAAATCACGATGCTAAATATTTGATTCTAACAGATTTCGATCGGCCAATAGTAAATTGAAAATTCCTTCAAATAGAAATTAGTTGGTGTGATTATCACATGTGCCCTAGTACAACATATGGAGAAGGCATCTAGGTACAACCCGGATACTGGATCATCCTTACTAGATCTTATATTGACCTCAACTACATTCCACATTTACGTAAAAGTGATCATGTAGCTCAATCTGAACCTTAGGTCTGGAGAGCAAATGTAGGAGATATTATACACTCAGCATCCTCAACAGACTGAAAGAAAGAGCTAGGGTCCCCAATTGAAATAGCTTGGGATGCATTTAGAAATTTTTACTTGAAAGTCACTGCACATCACATCCCTTGGACTGAGTCAAGGGTCCGATAAACTCTCCATCATAGTTCAGTAGGAAGGTTCTCACCCTTCTCCTCAAGAGAAGAATGTGTAAGAGATTTAGGTCACTGGGCGTTGACGAGACAAAATCTCAATATCGTAAAGGTCGAAAAATGTGTACTTTGACCCCCCGTAAGTCTAGAAGGTTGTACAGAAAAGAACTTGTTAATGAATCTATAGAATGCCCTGAACGCCTATATTCGTACATAAACCAAGGGATTAAGAGATGAGGAAATATTACTGTCTCATTGATTTATTAGTGGCTCGTGGAAATCGATGCACTCTTAAAGACCCAAAGTTACTAATAGACACGGCTACCTGTTTTCAAGACACAATTATTTAAAACTCGTATTTAGTTGAGACTTGAAAACTACTGCACACTGTCATGCGATAGCCGCCAAAGTTTTTGGAACACAATGGTCAATGGGTATGGCCTTTGGCCCTGTAAATGATAAAATCCTTTTGATTTTGTATATAGTATTCATGCGTCCTAAACTTAAGCACTGGATCCAAGAGGCTAGCATCTGTCTAAAAATAGATAGTGAAATTCTGTCGAAGGTCTGACGAACCGCAAACAAACTCAATCCCGGCATAGCGAAAACTCCTGTATGATGCTCGACTGACTAAACTAAACCTATTTCTATCGTTATATCAAATGACCACAGGCGACTCTATCACAGATTTCAAATTATTTAGTGGTGAATTCGCATCTGATATTCCCTCATTTTTCTTGCCTCCTAAAGCAGAGAATTTAAGAGGATATTCCATAAACCAAGAGCAGATTACTCATCAACTGACGGTCGATTTTTTCATATAATTATTATCAAGGAATGGAATTCATTACCTTAGCATGTGACTGAAGCTTCATCTGTAAATCTTTTCAAAAGTAAGTTGGAACA